AGACATGCAGAAGGAGGGAAAGAGGATCAGTGAGGTCAGATTAAACTAGGGAACTGTCTGAACTAAAACTTTAAGAACAGTTGTTTAGAGGGCCAGCGAGATAGCTCAGCAGACTAAGCTCCTGCTTAGGCAAGTGCGGAGACCCCACATGCTGTGCCAGCCCCACCCCAAGGGCTTGCTGAGCCAGCAGATGAGTCTGGGTGTGGTGGTGCACACCTGTAATCCCAGCACTGGGGATGCTGAAAACAGCAGGATCACTAGGAGTCTGAGCTGCATAGTGAGACCCTGTACCAAATACATAAAATGAAAAAGAAAAAAAAGAAAGAAAGAAAAAGAAAAAGCTCTTGTTTTGGGCCTGGGAGATAGCTCAATGGTATAAGTACCTGGCAAGTGCAAGGTCATGAGTTCAATCCCTGGTATTGCAGCAACAACAAAAAGAACTGCTGCTTTGTTCCCAGATGTTTGCCACCTTCTCGGCAAACAGTCTCAGACCACCTGCCCTGGACTGGCCCTGGGCTCAGGCCTGACTGTGTACAGTTGTGCAGCAAGGTGAGGCTGTTGTGGGCATTTGGGAAGGCAGGGTCGGGGTGCAAGGATACACGCTGTGACATGTGTCCCCAAGAGAGCATCTCCCCAGCCCAGAGGGGAGATGAGTTGTCCTTTCTGGGAGCTGAGGAGTCACAGATACAGAGCAGCAAGGAGGGAACAGCCTGGTCAAGGAGCTACCTGTAAGCCCAGGGCAGTTATAGAATCAGCCAACAAATGTCTGCAGTACAGACAAAAGAAAGGATGGCTGATTGAAATCAGAAAGCAAATGGGGACCACATAAATATAACAGTGAAACTCACTGCCTTGTACAATATGATTGGATAAACGTAACAAATTTGTAAAGGGTCCATATACCATGTCATGAATTTGAGACTTATGTGACCTTGGTAACCATCTTTACATTTTAGAAAGATCATTGTAGAGGAAAAGAATGATTTCAAACAAGTATTGAACTCTGGCTAATGATATGTATGCTTGAATTATTTAGAAAAATGTATACTGTATAATGCCTAAAATTTGCTTTGAAATACATGTAAGATTAATTGCTTAGTAGAAAGGCAGCTAGTTAGCATACAAGAAAGAAGGCAAAATTGTAAAATCAAAAGAGCAAGTGTGTGTATGTTCATTGTAAAATTCTCTAAACTTTCCTAATATTTGAACATTTTCACAATAAAATACTAGAAAAGTAGATCATTCTGGCTGCATATTTTAGAATGGAGCAAGGTGGTCATTTGGAGCTGATCTTGATGCCTAAAGTATGTAGGGGAAGAGACAGTGGTAATATTTCTTGATTTCCAGAAATATTCAAAAGCCAGGTATGGTGCCACATACTTGTGGTCCCAGCTACTCGGAAGGCTGAGGCAGGAGCATTACTTGAGCCCAGGATTTGGAGACCAGCCTGGGAAACATAGTGACGCCTTCCACCCAAATATAAAAGTCAGAGTATTAAGCCCTAATTTTGGCATTTGGATGATAGAGGGGAGGAAAAATAACGATCCTCTGTTTCACTGACCTAGTTATAAAATGGCAAGCAATAGATGGTCATTGATTTTGAGGTGAGAAGAAGGACTCAAAACACTAAGAAATATGAGTCACTGATGAACCTCCACAAAACAGCCCTGGTGCGAGTTCTTTGGTTTCTTAGTCTGTCCTTGAACACAGTTGGCTTCAGTCCCTCATGGTGAGCTCCTGACAGGACAGGAGGTGAGTTATCATTGCCTGATGTGCCCTGTGGCCCAAACCGGAGGTGAGGCTGGGCTCCTCCGCCCGCTGCCACCTCACCTTACTCACAGTGTTCCAAATACCGTGTCACCTCTTCCCAGCACGGTCTCTTCACTCAAGCACCCACTGAAGAGGGTAAAGCCGGTCATCATGTTCTGTTTTGATGTTTCTGTTTTAGAATGAGATTGTTTCAGATCAGCTGCTTCAAATGACCCCTCCACTGTGAGCTCGGATTTATCAGTTGCCGTCAGGAAACAGATTTCTCTGGGAGCCTCAATCACAATGAGGCAAAATGAGCTTTGCTCAAG